ACTTCAATTTCAGTAAGGAGTTAATATGGAGCAGCAGTTTGTTGCATATATTGATGGTTTGTAGAAATTGTGTACATATTGACCAAGCCAATCAAAGGACTGAAGCATTCCAGGATTAAAAGAACCACTAGATTTAGTTTGATAAAAAACTTTAATTTCAACACCACTATCTCATATACACCCTGCTCTGACAAGAACGAAAAAAAATCTCATAACCTTTTGTATAAAAACATTTAATTCATTGCAACTAATCACGTTTTTCCTTCCTTGCGTCCGATTGGTCGTCAGGAATTGAACACATCATGCGTCTCGTGACTGCAGCCAGATCCACACTTTTCTCAAACGTGTCGGGGACCAAATGTACATAAAATGATCACACCTTCCAGCAAAGTTGTTGTAAATAGGGAGGGGGGGGTTGTTTTTTGTTTTTGTACTGTCATAATCCCAGAATTTAACCTGTGGAATGTCCTGTGGGGAAGGAAAACATGAAGGGGATTTGGGGTGGGCATCAATTGAAAAGAAGGGTTTGTGAGTAAACTTAAGATGACGCAGCAGCTACACACAGTTTAAACAGTCCCAAATCTCCAGGAAGTGCCATATTATTCCAACCGTTCTTTGATCCTTTGGAAAGTTTTCTGACTTTTCCCAGAGTAAATATGAGCTTCTGGATGTTTGAAATGTGTTTGGATGTTTTGTCATCTCGGTTTGTTGTATAGTGTCCTGCATGTTCCTCCATATATATATATATATAAATCTATGTTATCGTAGTTTAGTCCGTAGCGTAGAAATGAGCAAAATATTAAAAAACTGCATCAGCAACATGTCGTCTGTGGAGTTTATTCCTCCCTGTGTTTAATGCCGGGATCCTTCACTGTAAATGTCTTTAGTTTTATTAATTTTCTTGATGGATGACAACAGAAGAAAGGGGAGTCATGAGTTATGATGTCTCTAGCTAAAGTGCTCGAGTATGATCCGTTTCCGGAGCTCCTCTGCCTCACTGTCGCGCTCCTCCAGCTTCTGCTCAGGTCCGCTGGGCTGCTCCAGAGGCTCCGTCCGCTCCAGAGTCCAGGCGTCCAGCCCGGAATGCAGCGAGGCGTTGTGGAGAACACAACAGGCTAGAAGGATGGAGGAGCTTCTTTCTGGAGAATACTGCTCAGAAGAGATACGACATGATATCAGATACTTTAACATATGAAACAGTTTTGTTTAGTCTTCCCAAAAAGGAATATGCCTGCTTTAGTGAAGAGATACCTGCAGGTGTCCTTTGATGCCATCTAAACATCGGAATCTGGTCTGAATGGCCCTGAAAGTTCTGTCCACTATCTCATGCGTCATTGTGTGAGCCAGATTATACCGAAACTCTGCATCCGTTTCTGGGCTCTCAAGGGGAGTCATCAACCACTTCTTTAAAGGATAACGTCCATCCCCTTTTAAAAAACCAGATCCACATTACCTGCTGACTTCTTCATGTGAAACGCTTCCCTAAAGCTAAGAGCGCATCTCACCCAGGAGCCAGCCCTCCTCATTGTCCTGCAGCTGTTTGTAAAGAGCTGATCTCTCCAGGATGTCGGTGTCCTGCAGCCCGCCGGGCCACGTTTCTGCGCTGAGTAAGAGCCCCTGGGCGTTGCACACCAGCTGACATGCTACAGAGTGGGAGCCCTTCTTGTTCACGTACGAGGAGGCTTCGTTGTTTGGAGCTTTGATGGCAACCTGCAGTTGACGGAGTGAGAGGACGGTTAGAGATAAGTCAGCGACATTGTTAAACATGATCAAATGTGGGAAAGCTCAACTGTTGAAAAGAGTTATACATGAGGGTTAGCTAACCTGAACGCAATCAAGAACACCCAGAACTCCAGGAAAACCTGCCACCCTCTGAAACTCCTGGAAGGAGTACTCTGTGTTGGACGGATCTCTGTGTGAATGACACGTATCACCATGTTATTCTATACAAGAGCTTAGCTTTAGAACCAAAGGCATTTGGCTTGTATCTACCGTACCTGTTGAAAGTGATGAACTGTGGTGCTTTCTCCACCAGTGCCTTGGTGACAACAGTCACACATCTGGACATGGAGGCCTGGCTTATCCCTATTATATCCCCCATGGATGTTTGGAATGAGCCGGATGTGTAGAAGCCCAACGCCGCCAAGACCTGCACCTCAGGACTGATGGCTCTGGACCTCAGGGTCCTCCTGGACAGAGTCTGCAACACAGCAAGGTGTAAACACAATACAGAGAATTGTTCTCTTTAAAACATCGCAATGCATAAAGATGCACACCTCTCTGAGTAATTCCACCAGATACAGAATGAAATCCCTCGGAAAGCCAAAATTTGAGAGGAGAACGTCATTTGAAACAGAGTCCAGATCGAAGCGGTCCAAAGTCTTGCAGCCTCGACCGTGCAGAAGAAGATCACAGTCTAAGACCGCTATGGGGATGGCCATGCTGGAGGTAAAACCTACACATAAGAAAATAAGAGAAATAGGAAACAAATACTCTTGGGTGGTGTTAGAAATTTACATCACACAAAAAACTAAAGTATTCCAAGGCTGTGATCTAGTCCGAGCAATATAATACGAAGGACAACACCAAACAACTCAAATACGAATAATGAGAACTAATCTTTAAAATTAAAAACAATAAATCTGACTCCTGAGTTGTATGGTGGGACAAAATCTTATAATAAACATGTTGTATAATTATGAATGTCAATTGAATAAAGAACATCCATTAAATATCCCTAAAAGGTAATTAAATTAATGATTTATTTATTCATTTAATACACTATTTCATAAACGAAATCAATTATGAAATGCAAAATTAAATAATCCGAATTCTCGTCAAATTATTATTTCAAAAGTTATACATTTGAAATAATAAAATTAGATCATTAAAAGCTTTTCTAGTAAACTGATTATATATACCTATTTACTTCTCTATATGAAGTGATATGATTTATCTTTATGAGATCAAGGTTTTCAACAGTTTTATAACAAGTTTATTATTGTTATTTAGGTGTAGACAGCATAAAATGTTTGGGGACCTTTGGTTCAGATCTAAGCAATTTCCAAAGTTAGATGTTAGGACTAAAATCTATTTGGAAATCTGTGGCATCTAATTCCAATATAATTGTTTTTTTTATATATATTTTCAGACGAAACAAAACAATTCATTTAAATATTTGACTTTTTTTCTTTGCAATGTAACAACATATAGGGGAGTTAAAGCACTAGTAATGTTTGAGCAATGCACTGGCTTTAACTCAACTGCTTCAAGATAGGCTTTCTTTCTAAGAACTATAATAATCAAAATGTGCAATTTTAACTTATACAAAATACTCAAACAACCCAAAAAAATACAAATGCTAACCAGTTCCTAGCTAGCTTCGTTTATATATATATATTTATATTCTCCGCTCATCCACCGAAAAACTCTCTGCTGACTCCATGAAGATATATTAGTTCAATTTAAACTCTTAGTTTTTCAAATACTTATTTTTAAAACAAAAAAAAACGCGTTTTACCTTCAGATAGCCCAGCATCTGTCAGCTAAAATAAAGCAATGAAACATTCCATGCGGTTTCGAACCGCATATTCGACACTGTAATTAATATTTGCATTGGACATATAAATACATATGTATAAAATAAAAAAACAGTCCATAAAAGCTGTCACTGCAATCCTGATTAGTCCAATCACTGTTTAAATTGTTAGGGTGAAGAAATAAATTATAAAAGATAGCAACGAAAATGCGAGTCGGTGACTGCTGCTACGTAAACACGTCGACATGGAGAAGATAAACAGAAAAGTGGCACAGCAGCTGCTGACGTTGTGTATATCCGAAACAGGCCTATAAATGTCTTCGGAAAATATACTTTCTGTCATGTAATTAATCTTATGAGTATTAAATTGAACGCCAGTCGCTAACGAAACAACTAATGTAAGTTTTGCTGCTCTGAATGCTCCTTAAAGCCGTTAGTCAGGCAGTCAGCTAGCATTAGCCACATGCTAACGCTGTTTTTTAGCAGTTAGGTCTGTTAGGAAAAAAATCTGTGTTTATTTAAGGAAACCTCAGTTTTGTCCTTGATTTTTAAAACACGCGCTCTGAGTTTTAAATTATTGCGGTTGTTGTTTTTTCTACATATAACCTAAATAATTATTCTGGTCATTTCTAATAAGCAAAGAGGCCTCATTTGTTTTCTAGAACTAGTGGTTGTGTAAGGTTTTAAAGACAGCTGATGCTGTTATTCCAAATGTCCAACAAATTGATTCTGCATGACGTTAATTTAAAAACTCACTTAAAAAAAGATTAAAAAAAAAAAACTCAATAAAAAAAACTAAATTAAATCAGTTTTAAGTCAGTGTTTGAATTTACATTATTTTAGTAGCAAAATAATTTAGCATCTCCTATAGTTATTCTGTTGATTTAAATTCTTGTTTGAATAAAGACCTAAATATTGCACACATGGTGGAAATATTGCAATATGTTTTGTTTTTACATTTTTTCAAAGCTTAGTTGCAAAAGGAATGTTTTTTTTTTTTTTTTACAAACTTTATCCATCCATGTATTTTTTACATATTTACCTGTTTTTTTTTATCTAAAATATTGAATTTGTTAGACGTCTTTAATAGCAATGCATATTTTTTGACTAGATCTGGTACAGAGGTAATAATCTAAAATAACCTTAAGCTGTGCCTTTCTTTGCTTGTATATTTAAATATTTTACATTTGTTTACACAAAACCTTTAACTATGTGTACATTTACCAACATAAATGTATTGACATTAACTTATTAGAATAATTAAATATATATTTGTTGAATTGTTTTTGTGATTGCAGGGTTGTGACAACATGGACAGTGACCTGAGTCCACAGGATAAGAAAGACTTGGACAAGTTTATTAAGTTTTTTGCCTTAAAGGTAAGAGGTTTGCGTACAGCTTGTCTTTGTTGTAATTTTGTTGCTTAGTAATGAATTTTTTTTTCCCGATGAAACTGAAGCTGCAGAAGGACGTATCTAAAGTCTCCCACATTTGTTTTTGTTTTGTTTTTTAAATAATCCATCCAATTAATCTCCTCCTTTCAGCCATCTTTTCTGCTCATTTTAAAGGGATGCACCCACATCCCTCTCTACCAACCTCCTCTTAAAGGATCCATTGTCTCATGAGCATATGTGGAGGGAGGAACACAAATGGAAGGGGAAAATCCAAATATTATCATTTCTGCTCAGCTCTTTCCTTATCCCCAACGACCTTGAATCTCCTACCGCTATTTTCTAATAAATTCACATTCTTTAATCTAATCCACTTCTTATATCTGCAGACTGTCCAGGTGATTGTCCAAGCTCGCCTCGGGGAGAAGATCTGTACCCGCTCCTCTTCATCACCCACCGGCTCAGACTGGGTAAAAACTAAATCGTAATTTTTAGTGTTTCTAGTATTTCTAACTTACTTAGGGCTGAAACAATTGGATTAATCGGGATCAATTGATTATTAAAATAATCTTCAACTAATTTAGTAATCTATTATTCGTTAACTGGAATGAAGAGACTGTAAAACTATATCAAAGTTGTAATAAAATATGTAAACATTTTGTTTTAAGATTTAAAAAAAACTTTCGTCTGTCAGTATGCTCTATCCAGAACTCCTCAATTGGAAAGGTTTTAGTTTCACTTGGTTTTATTTTGTAAAAAACATATTTAACTTCTTTACTGGCTATCCAGTTATTAAACGACTAACCAAAAAAAAAAAATAAATCACCAGATTGATTTGATTTGCAAAATAATCCTCAGTTACAGCACTAAACTTATTGATCTTATGATGTAAATGACTATTTCCTCCTCGACATTGTTCTCAGTTTAATTTGGCGATCAAAGACATCCCAGAGGTCACTCATGAGGCCAAGAAGGCGCTGGCCGGTCAGCTTCCTGGCATCGGCCGATCCATGTGCGTGGAGATCTCCCTGAAGACCTCAGAGGTAGATCGGCGGGTCGCTGTTTTTTAAAGAGCTGCTCATAACCAAAGAGGGGCGATGTTCCCACACTCATCTTTTCCTTCCCTTATCTTTGTCGCTCAGGGTGACTCTATGGAATTAGAAACGTGGTGCCTGGAGATGAATGAGAAGTAAGTCCATGTGGTGGATTTTTCCATTTTTGAGTATTTTAGGTCCAATTGAGCTGCTTTTTTTATGTTTAATTTCTGTACTTTATGCACTGCAGGTGCGATAAGGACATTAAAGTGTCTTACACCGTCTATAACCGGCTGTCGGTTCTTCTGAAGTCTCTGCTGGCAATCACCAGGGTAACTCCTGCCTATAAGCTGTCCAGAAAGCAGGGCCACGATTACGTCATATTATACAGGTGCTCTGATCTGTTCTGCCAGTAATTGAATTGAGTCGTGTGACATAGAGATGTTTATCTAAAGGCTGTCTCCTGTGTAGGATCTACTTTGGGGAAGTCCAGCTGGGCGGACTAGGAGAAGGTAACTTCATTTCTACTCTGTATGATTAGGATTTAATCTATGATGGTTGGAAAGCTCTGCTATCTTTCCATGAAGGTTTCCAGACGGTGCGTGTCGGTGTTGTTGGTACTCCCGTCGGCACGGTCACACTGTCTTGCGCCTACCGCACCAACCTGGCGTTCATGTCCAGCAGGTAATTGATTGCAGGTTACTCTCACTGTTCGATAAAGGGCAGCGGCTCATGGATGGATTTCCCTTTTCAGGCAGTTTGAAAGGTCGGCTCCCATTATGGGAATCATCGTGGATCACTTCGTGGATGCTCCCGGCGGCAATCCGCGCCCCATTAACATGGGGCAGCCATGCAACTACAGGTGGGTTTTTAGAAAGCCACAATGGTGACGTTAGCTTCAAGGACGGAGAATGATGCTTTCTGTTTGCATTCAGAGCCCCAGATGACGACGACGGAGGAGCGTTGGGAGTCCAGGACTCACAGGAGGTCTGCACCACCTCCTTCTCCACCTCCCCTCCCTCCCAGGTGAGAACACACACCCTTCTTCCTCTCTGTCCCTTTATATTCTGCTGGTTATCATTTCACTCTCTTCTCAACTATTTTTGTTTCATTTCCCGTCTTCTTACTAAATCTATCTGTGTGCGTTGTACGGATTCAGTGTGTCTGCACACTGAGTCCATCCCCTTCCAAACTGTCCAAGCCCCTCCCGCTGGACAGTCTTCAGCTCCCATTGGCTCCAGGACTTGTCGCTCACAATGTGAGTCTATGTCAGTGTGTGTTTGCGTGAGAAACCTCTGCTCTTCTGCTCCTCGCTGTGTGTCCATCAGGATCTTCTCCATCTTTCTCAGTTAGTTTAATGCAAAGTTTGCATCCCTGTGGGTTTAGTTTGCTGTGTTTTTGTTTATTTTTTTCCTTCACTATCACTTGTAGATACATAAAAAGCTCATGATGCTTGACCCACACCTTTCCATACCGCTTCAGCAGCTGCAGGAGCCTCAAAGTTTTTTAATTCTTTGTTAAATCCTGCTCTATTTTTTGTCTCTTTAGCTCTATGCCTCTAGGTTATCCTACCAACCGGCACCTGCAGGAGGAGCTACAGAGTTCAACACCAACCAGGTGAAGTACTTTTGATGTGTAAAACGTTCACTAGACCGATAACGAGACATGTTAAAGATGGATTAAATTAGTTTTTTTTAAGCATTTTTATATTTTCTCACAATATAAACAATCCAAACAGACATTTTTCACTTCAATCCAGCCAATAAAACTAGTTTTATTAGATCACCTTTAAAAAAAAAAAAGAAAAAGATTTATATTTAAATCTTTAAGAAAATGTATATTTAACAGATATCCACCATCGGTTAATGATAGATTTGTAAAATCATTAAACAAAAAGGATTTCTTACCAGTCAAAAATATGAATAAAAAGCTGTTAAATGTCAAGTTAGTTTCTGAATTAAAGAATTGACATCAAGTCCAGCTAATAAACTTAAGTTTATTAGCTGTATTTAGTTTATTATTAGTTTATGATAAAGTTAAGAGCCGGAAAACAACACTGACATTTCAAATTTTAGGATTCAAAATGAAAGGAAAAAAAAGAGAAAAAACACATTTTTAATTGGTTGCTAATATGATTTTTTAAAATAATGTATAAAAAGGAAAAATTTTCACACTTAGATAAAAAATATATATCTGTAACAATGTATCACTTTATTTTGTGAAATAATAATAAAAAAAACAATTTTGACTTAAACTATTAAAGTTGCAATCATTACACAAACTTATATATCTATAATTGGGTTTGCGATATTTTTGGGAAATTGTGTTAAATAAAACAACCTTTTTTTCCACTTAAAAAAAAGATTTTAAAATATCTATTTCTGTTATGATTAATGTTTTTTGAGAAAAATTTAATGCAAGTACTCAGAGGGGAAAATACTAAAACATGCCTTTGTCATTATATCTATTGTTAAAAATTAGCTATTTCTTCCTCATTTTTAGCCGAGGGGATAAAGAGCCATCATCTTAAAACCACAAACCCTTATTTACTCAGATGCGTCTACAAAGAAGGGGAAGAAGTTAAGTCCATCATCATTAAAACTATAGGACCTGTGTTCGGCTTCCCTTTCAGGGTTTACATGCGGGGAAAGAAGTCGGGATGGTTCTGGCTCCTGGAGCAGATGTGCATCTGACTGTAGAAAACGCCCCCAACACACCCAGCAGCAGGTAGCTATCTGCCGACGTTCTTCACGTCGATTTGCTGAACAGTTTTTTGTCGTTCATCAAAGTATTTGTTCCAAAAACGTTAAACAATCCACTGGACTTTGTTTCCAAGTTTAAAGACGTTACGCTTCCCCTCCAGGAAGCTTTTTCAAATCAAACTTTTTCAATGTTTTAATTGAAAAAGCTTCCTGGAGGGAAAGCGTAACGTCTTTAAACTTGGAAATAAAGTCCAGTGCATTGTTTAACTTTTTTGGAATGACAATGACCTTGATGACTGAGAATTTTCACCCGCATATGAAAGTATATGGCTTGGAAAAAACAAACATCTTTTGGTGTTTTCTACCAGTGGCGATGAGGAGGGCTTGCTGCAGAGCGGCGAGGGGAGGAGCGTCTCTCCGTCGGACCCAGTGGAGTCACTCAACGCGTTCACGAGGAAGGTCGGGGCTTTTGTAAACAAACCCAGCAATCAGGTAACTAATGATATAAACTTTCAATCTTTGATTTAAATTTTTTAACCTTTCAGCTTCTATTATTTTTCATTTGCTTTGAGAAGCTGTTAAATCAGCTTATTATATAGATCAAAGTCTGTATTTCCTCTGTAGATAACTGGTGGTTTGGATCTCCCGTTTGCTGCATTTGCTCCCCGTGGTCTGGATTCTGAGGAGAACGATCCGATGGTGAATTTGCGTTTTCTCTTTTTAAATGTTCCTTACTGCGTTTGTTCTCTATAAAGCCTGACTAATCAGTGGCGTGTGGTTTTGCGCTCAGGTGAATCCGCCGGACTCTCCTCCCAGCCAGTCCCCCCTGCAGGCCAGTCTCCACTCCCAGGGCTCAGACTGCTCAGGACAGCAGGACGACTTCGTCATGGTCGACTTTGTAAGTGGCTCACGTCACTCCTTTCAGTCCATGCTGTTGAAAATTAAAAAATGAATCACTTTTATTATGTTAGGAAATATACAATATGTTGTTGTTATGAAGTCAAGACGGGTTCCTTAAAATAAAACTCAAAAGGTAACATTAAATATAGACACTGTCAAAGCCAAGAAAGAAAACTAGTATGGCTTTTAGCTTGATGCTAGTTGGCTTTATCCACCCAGCATCATCAATATTAACATCTTAATAATAATAATTATCATTGCAAATGTTTTAAAAATGTTATCATAGTGACTTAAAATAGCATCTTGATATAGATCCATCCAATCATGGCTTTCAGCTAATGAAGGTTATAGCAGCAAAAAAAATAGCTGGAATTAAATAAACATGCCTCGACAAAAATTTATATTAATGGAATAAATTGTCAGATTAAATCATTCTTTTCATAATTATAAAATCTATTTAATTACGGTATGAGCTGAAAATTTGGCTTGCATTTAGTTATTTTACACTTCCATTGCTACATTTAATATTTGTGTATTATTTATTCAAGTTTAGAGCTGTTAATTTCATTTTGACTACTTGGGCGTTCAATAGCTAAAAGCTCCTGTCTCTATTCAAACAATCATGATTCACCTGCAGGCAATAAGTGTTGCCGATTCTTAATTGTGTAACTGTGTAAGAGAGGGAAAGGGTAGTAAAAGAACCATGAATAATGTTGCTAATGCTACTTCCACATGTATGCACAAGTCAAATTCTTGTGTTTACCATAACAAGAAAGAAAAAGGTCCAAATAAGCTCTTTTTTTTTTGCCTAAAAATGATTACACATGAATTTAAAGAGGATTTCTTTATGTAAAATCTAAAATTTGATTTGTTTAAAGTCCTGCGATGTTCGACTCTTAATGCCGCTGTCAACAATGCTCCTCTCAAAGCAACTAGAAGCTTAAGTTAAGACGGTATGCTGGTGAAGATTCTTGGTCACCCAGGTCATAGTCATTCCAAAAAAGCTAAACTATCCAGTGGACTTCGTTTCCGAGTTTGAAGACGTTTCGCTTCCCATCCAGGACGCTTTTTCAATTCAAAATGTCAGAAATAGCATTAAGTTTGAAGCTTTATAGAATGGACCGACCTCTAGTGAGACTTAGGAAACATCCAAATTGAAGAACAGGTCTGCCCCTTAGGAATGGGGAGTCATTTGGGTTCTTCGTTAGCCTGCAATACCGAATACTGGTCTATGCATCTGAAAGGGGGTCGTTAGGGGGAATTATTGGCCTGGCTAAACAGGTGAGATGTTCTGGTCCCCTGTATGGGGGTTACTCTATTTAAGGTTGTTTTTTCTTTAACATAAATGGCTTCCTTCACACCCCTTTCAAACCACCTGTCTTCTTTGTCCAAACTGTGAACATTCCGGTCCTCAAAAGAATTTCCTTTGTCCTTAACCTCTATAAACCCACCGTTTTAAAGCGTTTACAAATAATAACTCAGAATGTAAAAAAATTACACTGGTAAAATATTTACCAATGACATATTAGACATCGTTGGAAAGCTTTGATTCTCCACAATTTAACCACCTTGTTCTTTTTATGGACATAGCGAGCACCAAAGAACAATTATAGCAGCATGTAGAAATGTAGCATGACATAGCAGCCACAACAAGCTAGCATGTCTTTATTACTGCTGTTCAAAACAAGTTATTTTCAATAATAATAAAAAACATCTTTGAGTCATGTTTGAACTGATGCAGCTTGGGTGTTTTACTCATCCAATTTTCATGTATATATTCAGAAACTGTAAGGTGTTAGCTTTCAAATAACATATCAGACATGTAATTTGGGCTTACAGTTCCTAAGTTGTTTGCTTTTCCATTTGGGTTTGTAAAATAGATGAATTTCACAGAAATGAGGTGGATATTAAGAGGTTAAGGTGTAAAATGGACAGCAGAGTCTGGAGGAGGTAGCTCTTCTGCGTTGGTGTTTTGGTATTAAAAAACATGCGCACAAATCCCTATGAACAGTAACAGGATATCATCTAAATGAAGGAGCAGAGCCTCCAAACATCTAAATGTAAATTTTCAGGATGCTTGAGTGATGCATTCAGGAGCATTAATGAAAACTGAACTTTCAGCCAACTAGATGCAGAATGATGCCTTAAAACAAATCAGATCTCCCTTCAGCTTCTAGCAGAGCATCAAAACATCAGACCAGTCAGTTTTTTCGGCAAAGCTGACAGTTTTTCATTTTTTACATCCTTAAAAACTATATTGTCGTATTTAACTCCTTGACTAACACCGCGCTTGTAAGGAAACTCGTTTTTGCATGAAATTATTCAGAAAATGTGTCTGTTTTTGTATTTACATAACCTTTGGCGACTCCTCAGTACCGACACTAGCTGCAGTAATCAATTCTCCATAATATCTACATGTAGAGAAACTCGTAAAGACAAATTACATAAGAAAATTAAAGGTATGGTGGAGGAATTTCTTTTGCAGGATGGATCATGAAAAGTGACTCACCATGAACATGTTTTTGTTATGAACCATCTCTGTGTGCAGCGTCCAGCTTTCTCTAAAGACGACCTGTTGCCGATGGATCTGGGCACCTTCTACAGAGAGTTTCAGAACCCCCCACAGCTGGCCAGCCTCTCTCTTCACACCAGCTCCCAGTCGATGGCTGACGACCTGGTAAACATACCTTCCCATGTCCTTTTTCCCCTTTCGCATTTATTTCAGAGAACTGATAAGATTTTATTCCTTTGCAGGACTCTCTGCCGGAGAAACTGCGCGTCTATGAGAAAAACATTGACGAATTTGACGCTTTTGTGGACATGCTTCAGTAGGATGAATGAAGGAAAACTTGGACTAAAAGTTGAATTAATCAGAGGAATGGAGGGAAAATCTCTTTGTTGTGAGAATTAGTTAAAAGCTTTTGTGTCTAAAAACATCCCACCAGTTCACTTATAGTCACCTTCACTGTAAATACTGTAATATCTGGAGACACTGGCTCACATACTTGGCTGTCTGGTGTGCTAGAGGCAATCTATGTTGCATAAATCTGCTCTGGTAATGAAACAATCAAGACTCAGCAGGTTGTAAAGCCCACATCATGGATCTCGCCACCCTTTCTGCAAACTAGTATATCAGATATATAACTTGTAACCCTCTAGAAAGATTCCTGAAGAGTTTTGTGTTCCCAGCTGGTTTTGGGGAGACTTCCACTGTGATTTTTACCAGATAGTCCCAGATGCATTAGCAGCAGTTTCTCTGAGCTCATCCCACATGTTAGACTGCAGAAGCTAAACTAAATTGAAGGCCCTCACTTTAAATACAACCGCCCTGAAGCTCTGACTAATCCCAGCTTGTTGCATCTGTAATAAATGAATGACTACTGCAACACTTTGATGTATATTGTGTGAAATATGTAAAAAGGAGAAATCATTTCCAGCTATCCACATAAATTCAAGGCAGAGGTTGGTTTAAAGCTTTAAAGCATTTTGTCGATGTCGGAATAAAGCATGGCTGCTCTGTTTACCGTGTGTCTTTTTGATTTTGGTTTTCATTTGGCAGGGGACTGTTTGAAGGTGGTCCTAATATAGCGTTTGTTTCAAACCTTAAAATTTGTATTTAATTTCTGTGTTAAGTGAACAAAACGGCTAGAGATCGATCCATTTTCTGTCACACTTATCCCAGACAGGGTTGCGAGGGGTGCTGGTACCCGTCTCCAGGCAAGAGGCGGGGTATACGCGGAACAGGTTGCCAGTCCATCCCAGGGCAACGCTGAAACAATTCACACATCTAAGGAGAATTTTAGAGAAGCCAATTAACCCAACAGTCACGTTTTTGGACCATGGGAGGAAGCCAGAGTACCTGGAGAAGAACCCATGCATGCACCGGGAAAACATGCAAACTCCATGCAGAAAAACCCTGGGCCTTATTGAACCCACAACCTCCTTGCTGCAAGGCCAGCTAGAAAATCTATTTAAATTGACTGGTTAACCCTTTATAGGGCACTCGGTGAAATACCTTGAAAATCAAAACTTCAAGCCAATAGTGTTATTGGAATCCAAGACGAGACCTTATTACCTTTGTAACATTTAAAAATATACAAACCTGCAAGAGAGGGATATAATAAAAGTGCTTCTATAAGAATTATATATCATTTGTAAGGGGGATGCAAATGAGCTAAACCGGTGACTTCCTCTATAAAAGGGTTAAAGGCTAGACTTCCAAACAATTTTTTGAAAATCTGAAAAAATGTGAAACCCGGTCATAAATTGTAATTTTTAAGGTCAATGTATTAGAATTAAAAATGTTAACCATCCCAGTATTTTAGCAACAGATGCACTATTAACCACAAGTTATGCTAAACCTTTTACACTGCAATTTTGTATTTCTTTATCATAAAGTTCACCAAGAATATTACTAAAACTTTTCAGTTCAACTAAATATATTTGGCAATTATTTAAGATAAAATACCTTTTCCTTCCAATTAAATTTTTTTTTTTTTGCTTTATCAGCATTAGATGTGATGACTGAGTGATTAATGTATTCATCGTTGCTTGAGATCAAAGAGCGTCAAGTTGCTGCTCCTTCCATTTATTACTCACTATTTTAAAAAATGCCCTGCAATAATTTAAAGACCACACAAGAAAGGGATTCAAAAAAAAAAAGTTAACCATTTATAGATATTCAGAAGGGAAAAACATTTTAAATCTCCATCCAGACTGTACAGCATTTTGCAGGATTTTAAATAAAACTCAATCTCAGAAGTCCTCAATGTAATTTTATTTGTAGTATTTCATTTCACATCTGCAGGACTGCAAAGGGTAAGAACCAGAAGAATCGGGAGTTAAGGTCACGCTCTTTTTTTTGGAATAAACATTCAACATGTTTCAACGTGTTAACCAGCTACAGAACGAGTCTCTAATGAACCAACCCATCTCTCCACTGCTACCTGAAGGGTCTCAGAACCGTTCCAGCTTCCTGGGAAGGCAATTAAAGGAAAGTGAATTGATAGAGAGCTTCTCCCTGACAATGAGGATGTAAATAACCATTTGTACGTTTTCAAATATATCCTGTCAACTGCGGGTGGGAACAAAAGAAAAAAAAAAAAAGAGAAAATTCACAGGAGTTAGGCAGTGGTTGCCCTGTGTGCATTTCCATCTCGTTCAGCAGCTCAGTTCAAAATAATGTCCTGCCACCCCCCCACACTTCTAGAGTCCAATTAATTGCGTAACTTTGAGTAGATTGACAGGTCGGGGAACGACTCGGAAGAAAACATCCAGATAAAGACGAGGGCGACTTGTCCTTGAGTGCAGGATGAAAGTCTTTATTTGTGGCCAATGTCCTCCATTGACGAGATCTAACCTGCTCCCCTCAAGTTAGCTGAGCTTCCGTTTTCTATGTTAGTCAGGCGACGATGAAGGCGGGTCTGGAATCCATACACACTACAGAGCAGGAAGGAGGACAGGGAGTGTATGGAAGAGATCCTGGAGATCTACGTTTCTTCATGAGGATTTGGAGATAAGGGGGAAAAAAAACGAAAAAGAAAAACTGGATGAGGGTCCAAAAGTTCAGGCAGCGTTTAGTAGGTCCTGGATGGCTTTCTGCTGCGTCTCATTTAGGGCGGAAACACACTGCGTCCATAATCCTGCCGACACCTGGAGGGAACGGAGATCATGATGCATGCTTTCAACTTTACAGCCCGTAACCCCCGACCCCAGAAAACCGGTTTAACGGCGTGGTTCCAGCTTACCTGTACTTGACGGATGACGTTTGCGAGGCGTTTGCTGCAGGCGTCTTCGGTTTTAACCGACTCGTTTGCAACGCCGTCGGCTATGATAAGGAAGATTTTAGGAAGGTTGGAGTTTTCTGGCCCCAAGACAATCGGGTTGTTGCTGTGGAGAGCAGAAATACAAAGGTTGGTCTGTTAACCTAAAACGTTCTACCAAATATTATCCCTTGGAGGCCATTTCAAAGGACAGATGCAGATGTGGGCAGTTGGTCAGGATTAACCCAAAGGATCAAATGAAATCACTGACAATAGGGACAGATGGAAGAAATGAGGCCAGAAACCGAAAGAATGGTTAAAACTTTGGAGATTGATAATAAAGGATCACATCCTACCTCTCTATGAGGTCGCACAGGAAGTCAAACGTGTGGACGGCCTCTTCCTTGTCCTCTTTGAGCGGCAGCCAGCTGAGCCAGTGAGGAAGGACCTCGCTGCCGTTCACGCACTCTGGCCGGAACCTCATCAGCTTTCCTACAGCAGAGATGCAGTTCTCTGTGGCGTTGACGTTCTCCTTAGACCGAGAGTCGGCTGCTTGGATGACGCCGACCAGCAGGGGGAGTGCCTCTACAACAACATATCAAAGACATATTTAACTTCAAAAACAATAAGAGGGTAATATTTAGGATTGGTTTAGCTTCCTACCTGTGCAGAAAGGGCGATAATTGTCTCCACCATACTGAGCCATGACGCCGACGCCATAAGCAGCCGCCTGCCGAACCTCAGGGCTCGTGTCGCAAAGCGACTGAAGCATCGGCCGCAGGAAGTACTCTGCATATTTGAAAGAGGAGGGGCTGCAGTGCTCTATCACGTCGTCAAAGATGCACAGACCCCACTGCCTGTCGGCCCACGGCCTGTTGGGACACTAAAGCCATACGGAGCCTGTCAGTAACTAAAAGCAGGGGTTTAGATCAGTTACCGTGGCAACAAAAATAAGACGGAAGCACTTACAATTAGCTGGACGATGAGCTGCAGCAGCTGCTCAAACCAAGGCAGAACCTTTTCTTTATAACTACTGAACACGGAGTGCAGGATGTCCGACACTTTGGTCAGGATGTAGACGTCATTCTCATCCTAAATAGAAACCAGAGGAGGCAATGAAAACAAATATAAAAAATAAGATTCAAATCTGAAGAAAACGTTTACCAACCTCATCCTGTAGAGTTTCCTCCACCTGCTCATCATAATCTTCATCTTGTCTTTTGGCTGCAAAGGAACAATCATTGTTCAATAAATTATATAAAACCCAACTTCCGTTTCTCTACTCATCCGAATCTGGGAATAAATCTCAATGAACAGACTGGAAATTATATTTTTTAAAAAAGGTGAAAAAACAAAACAAAAAGGGAAAGCAGCCTCACCTTGTCTGAGCTCCTGGTTTTTAAAGTGCTCTTCCAGTTTGGCTTTTAGGATGCCACCCAGTTCCTCGAAATGCTCGTTATTCAAACAGTCGTCTCCCATCAGCTCCACGCACTGAGAGCAGAGCAACAGCCATTAAACACCGAGCACCTTCACAGGAAGTCATTAGTGCACATTTCCACTTGGAGAATTACAAACTGACGCAGAAAGCAAACTCATTGAGCACCCAACCAGCACAGAGTGATCCAAACATTTCCTTCCAACCAGTAAAGCTTTACTCTCAGCTGTTATGGTTTAAAACCTGCACACGCTCCACCAGCCAGTTTATTACAGTAAATATATTTTTAAACTTTCTGGTTTATAAAAGTCCTCTTTGAAGTTTTTTTTTATTTTGGTGGAATAGAGACCAACCTTGGCGAAAGAATGCATGATTTCTGAAAGGACGTCCGAGTCGGGCTCCGTACCGATGGCCTTGATCAGAGCGTCGCACATGAAGTGCCACATCTGGGTGAGGTACTCAGGCCCTCGCACCCGTGCGCACTCCAGGAGCAGAGGCATGGATTCAGCCGCAGCCACTCGCACACGTTACACAGTTAAAGAAAAAACCTACAGATTTTAAAGCTAGGCTTCAATTTCAAGGAGCATAAAATATTAAATGACAGAGTTATGTGTGATAAATATAAAGGATATCATCATGAAAGTAGAACTTGAGCAGAGGAACCATCAGCTTCACCACCTGCTCTGTATATTCCACAAATCCCTCTTTCAGCTCTTTGGCGTAGCACACCTAAAAAAATAAATAAAAAAACTTTTACCAACAGAACGTAAAAAAATAAATAAAGGGTGGTGCAGAAATAATGAGTGGACACCATGCTCACCAACATCTGGCAGGCAGTGGCCTTCTCCTCCAGGCCGGCCGTCTTTATTCCAAAGCTTTGTTGATCTCCCAGGTTCACAAACTCCCATCCTTCATCCTCGGATATGTTCTCCATGTCCTGGGCTACAGTGAATGGATTTATAGTTTTTAAATCTGCGATCTCTACCATGCTTCTCTAAGATGTTTAGTCACTTACTGTCGAGGAGAGCCACCTCAGGCTTGATGGAGGCTGTTTTCATTAAGGGGCCCATCACCACAGGAAGGTACTGCTGAAACTCCTTCCCAAGGATCTTGCACATCCGGGCCCAGGCGGATATCATGTAGGAGATCTGGAGACAACCGGAACCTGTTAGGAGGCTAAACCCTCCAACAAATGTTAGAAATTGAGTTATTCAAGCCTCTCACCTGAGGATCGTCATCCTCCAGGTCATTGAAGTCCGTCTGGGTTTTAAGGAGCAGCTGCATCACCGCGGAGGCATCTGGCATGAACTAAAATGGCAAAAAGAAAATCAGATTGTCTGAAGCTGGAAGGAAAGAAGCATTTCTGCACATCCAGGCCTCAAACAAACCTTCTCCTTGCCCACAGCCAGACCAATCAGACTGATGCACTCGATGGTTTTCCCTCGCAGCAGACGGAGCTCTTTCTGCACGGCGTTCTCCACAATGTGCTTCAGTGAGGGCATGAACAGGTCGTAGTACGGCACAAACTTCTCCTCAGCCGTGTCGGCCACAGAGGCGATGGACGTCACCACCTGTTCCAGGACTAGTTTGGTACCCTTCTGGATCAGCTGATTGAGAGAAACGCACTGTGAGGGCTTCCACAGTCCAACATTTTGACCAGATCCCTGCTCGGTCAGAGGAGACCTTACCTCCTGCAGCTTGGCCACCATGATGACATGAAGGTGCTGCACCAGGCTGTCCAGGTAAGGAATGAGCAGTGATTTGGGGCAGTCTTCTGTGAAATTGATGAGAGCAGCAGCAGCGTGGGCCTGCACTCTAGGGTTAGTCTGATCCTCCATTGTCTGGAGCAGGGCTGAGATCACCTGGCAGAAACAACTTCAACTTAAAAGCAAGCACTGGATGATGATTATTCAGTAAAAATACACCTTTTACACCCTTTATGTATAAATATTTGCTTCTTCTAAGATACCTTATCATGAAACTTCTTCTGGAAGGTTGGAGCGAAGTCTGTGGCCATCTGTCCAATAGCGTTACAGGCAGCATAACGGACCCTCGGATGCTGAGGAGAGAGGGAAGCAGCCAAACTTAAAAACAGGATGTAATGCATCATTTTGTTTTGCCTTAATAAACTATAATAAATCAAATAAGAACTACGGTAGCCTTCATTCTGCCGTTTTTCTGCTAACATTTTCTCCAGAAATGCTCCGTAATAATGAAAAACCATTCAGGTCAATTTTACTACAACTAACATCCAAAAATGTCTTAAAGAATATCCCAAGTTTCCTGTATACAAAACAGGCCCTCATCATTATACTGCCTCTATTAGGCTTCACTTCTTCACATCTTCCCTAAAAATTGACCATCATTGTCACCAGACAGCTCAGTGCCTAAAAACCGGTAAGACGCTTGTGTTCAAGCAGTTCCCAGTCTGGTAACAACCAAATTGTTAACAACCAAACCCAAATGTTATATTTGCATTGACCAAAACCTTGCAGATGAAATCTACATTCTACTTGCTTGTGTGAATGGGCATGCTAGCTGCAACTCTATTCCAGCTTGTGCTGTTGCAAGGTTGCAAACCAAATTTAAGTGTATTACCGCCACCTGAAGGCTGAGCAGGAGTTTTAATAAATATCAATTAGATTGCAAATTTAATTGGCCAGCCCTAGTAACAACAAAATTAATAATCCAATATTAGATGCTGTGACAGAGTTAAACAGACTAGATGCCAAACCTTCCTTAACTACAGCCATCTTCTTTTTTTCCCCACCTTTCATTACTGGAAAAACTGATTAATCCAGGTGTGTCTGACCTCAGTAACCATGACAGCATTAGCCAGACACACCTGGATTAATCAGTTTTTCCAGTAAAGAGACAGGAAACAAAAGAGTGTATTTGGGCATATAGTCCACTAAAAGTGACCTTTGGCTGAATTAGTTTAAATAAATGTATAAAGCAAGGCCAAGTTTTTCTATTATACTAGCTTATAACTACATATAATGTAGTATAATATATTTTGGTACAACCAAAATAAAAGCCTCAAAAAGACTATCAAGAATGCCTCGAGCAGCTACAGGTGCAAATTTCCAACAATCACTTAGCACACACGTACAGCTCCAAGTGTTTGCAAGTTCTCCCTGCATGCAGGGCTTCTCTCTAGGTACAAATACTTCCTCCCACACTCAAAAACATGACTTTTACTGATGTCTCAAATTGCCCTTAGGTGAGAGCGTATGGGATGGAAACGCACCTACAATGCACAAATGCTTTTATATGTACTGAAATAAATCCCACAGCATTATTTAATAAAGTCATTATAATATATATTACTGAATTATTTTCCACCTCTATTACTACAAAAAAACCCTGTTTATTTTTATGGTTGAGCAATATTACAATTAGACTTCAGCTGAAATTTAAACAAAAATCAATGCAAGAGCAGAGACTAGAAGTAGAGCTATTAACAGTTAGCTCATGGTAAACATAAGCCGCTGCTTACAGGATCAGAGCAGAACAGGAGAACAAAGCTGACAATCTCTTGGAGAATGGCCTCCATCTGCTGATGGCATCCTTCACCGATGGCAGACAGCGCCATCAGACCAGCGTGACGGTATTTCCAGTCAGCTGTAAGCAGAGGGAAATAAATTCATAGGCTTTTATTTTTAATAGATTAGAATATAGAATTGAAGAAAAAAAATCTAGAATGAGCGGATTTACTTACGATTCTGCAGCATCTGCATTATGTGCTGTTTGATCATTGGCAAAATGATCTTCCCTCCCAAACCGCAGGCAATTCTGTCCAGAGCACTTTCCCCAGCTACAGCATTACTGATGAGCCATAAGAAAAAATCAGAAATGAGCCATTTAAGTTGCTTCCAGAGGAAGAAAATACAGGTGGAAGAGGAAGCAGCTGCAGTCTACCTATCAAAGTCATCATCCTCCAGCTCATCAGCCATGGCCCATTCATCATCATCTTCTAGATCTACCATCATTGCCAGCATCTGGGGAACTGAGATGAAAGATTTTAGTGACGAGAAAACAAAGGAGCCCAGCCTCCAGCCCGTTAAACCCATCCTCACCGCTCTCAGCTACGATAGCAGTGTGCTTCCTCAGCATAGCCGCCGCCGTTTCCGACAACGTGACGATGACTTCCAATGCCAGCTGCCTCTGCATGTTAGTCAAATTTGTGTCGGCGCAGATCTGAGGAGACAGGACACGCGTGTTTTAGGCAGCGGCTACAGAGTAGACATAGATGGGATTTTTACCCCACATCAGAACACACCTTCAAGCAGAGCTGCAGGGTTGTTTCCAGGTTGGGTCGAAGGTACTTCGGTGCCGTGTCTGCAATCTCCACCAAAGACTTCAGGACAGAGTCGTCTCCCTGATAGCACGACTCATTCACCGCCTGATCACAGGAACAGAGAAGCAGATCATCAGGCTGGGTAAATACACAATAAACCTGCAGCAAGTGCATCTATGAAACAAAATTATTCCAGCATACACTGCATCCACTGAGTCCTGCTCTATTACGGATGCTAAATATGAGGTGAAGGTGCCATTCAGTGACAGTTTAACATCCTACCTGCAGGATTCCAGGCAGCAAGTCGGCGAAATGCTTCAGCAGAGCAGTGTTGCCTTCGTTGGATAGAACAAATGATGCTGCAGCTCGAGCTGCAAGGGTTCGAATCTAAAGATGCAAACAAACACCCAAAAATGTTTATATTATTATTGATAAACACAGCGAGGTAGCAGAAACCTGGTATGATCATTTCTATTTTTATTTTATTTTTTTTTTTTACATGTGGGTTTGCTTGGTCCTGCATGCACTGGACAAGCATGCGCTTGATGACATCTAGATAGTGCTGCTGCTGGTTTCCAAAGATTCCCGGAAAGTTCCTAAAGCAAAGGGAAGACGGTTGGCAGTCAGACGCTGGAACGGCCATGTTGGAGCAGCTCATGGAGCTGGAACTCACCAGAATATGTGAAGGGCAGCTTCCCGCAGACCGACATTGTCGGAGTTCACAGAGTCGAACAGGAACTTGAGCACTTCGGGCCACTGGTTATTCCCGTCATCATCTGGAGATAAAGACGGAGCATAAATGCCAAAAATTAACATGCCAGTTCCCATCAGGCATAACATCGCATCCAAAGACCAGAAAAAAATCTTTACTTCCTGCTCTTTAATTCATATGGTTTATTTTAGCTACAGGGTTGAAGCTAGATTTTACCGATGAGGTTGCGGCAGAGCTCGGCTGCGATGTCGCAGACCTTCTTGCGAATGTTTTGCGACGTCTCGTGCTGGATGCTGGTCAGCAGCTCTGTCTTGATGGCCGTCTGCATTTCCACCGTCAAACCTGGGTAGATTTCCTCAAAGGAGGATGACAGCAGTCGCCGCAGCAACACTGCTGCCATCTGTCTGACCTGAGGAGATAAAAACAAACTTAATGGGCCAGAAAATGACCAATTCCTTCATATCTGGGCTAGAAATACAAGCTTGGGACTTTGGTAATCAAACTGTAGGAAAAATGATGATAATCTTAAAAGCAGCATCACTTTTCTAGCACTTCACTCCCTGCTCCCATTTCTGAAGTCTAAAAATATCAGCCTTGAGGTAAAGGAAAAAGGAGGAAGCACTAGGGCCAGAGCAGCTGGTGGAGTCAGAGTAAACTTAACCAAATGGCAACACGATGACTCATGAAGACGAGCTTCTTTCACTCTGTGGTGAGGTCCCACATGTGACAACTAGATTATTGAAATGCCATTAGTGTTGCAACTCTTCAAATGGGCAAGACTTCCCCCTCCAAGTAGTCTATTGACAACGTTTAGGGGAATGCAAAAACACACCGCTTTGGACGGAAAGAATTCAAAGTGTCGGTATCTAATGTATGTAATGTACACACCTCATCGGTAGCCGATGGATCTCTGACAGCCTGCAGCAGGAATGTTATTTTGTTCTGGCCTGGGATTGTGTCATAGGTTTCCTGCAAAGGGAAAAAAAGAAAAGCACAATGAAAAATGACATTTCACCCAACTCAAGGCTTAAAAAGAACAACAAATATTGCGGATAACTTAATCTCAGCTGTTTCTTTACATTAACACATCGACATGCAGGGCACCTTTATGCAGCAGGCTCTGCTAAGGCAGACTCCTAATAAGTTTTAAACTTGCTTTGGAGAAGCCTAATGAGAACAGAATGCATTCATATTCTGTTGCAGATTCAAATTCAGGTCAGATCTTTAATTAGTTTTAAATATTTATTGCTGTTCTTTATAACAGGCACACTTGAATCAATTTTTTTTGTAATCATTAGCCCGAAGAATAAAACAGCACACCTATATTTCTATTTATGAAGACAATGGGGACTAACTTCACTCTGATCATCTGTTTAGAATACCTTTTTCCCCCTTAAACTTGCTAGAGCTGCTTTAATTGCGTCATCTGATTTACATTTGAACTTTTACTCTCAATATTAAATAAACAAATGGGAAATAAATCAAAAGTGATGTATTGTTCTTTTAAGATGACGTGGTAAGATATGAGACAAGCTTAAGGATAACGCAATCACCTTTATCTGATTTTTAAAATAATCATTGAATCAACCATTAGCATTAAAAGGCAGCCTCATCTGACTCACCTCTGGCTGTACCAGGGTGAATATTTTTGCATAACAAAGCACATGTTAAGGCCCCAGTGTTGAAACAAAAGCGAATGGAATTTTATACAGCAATGTTGGGTTTTCATGCACATAAACAACTTGCAATCCTAGTAAGAAACTCGATTTGTTGTTGCCAAACAAGTTTACTAACTTGATGTCCGATTAAGATGCCAAATGTGGCATCAACTTGTCTCCTAGCATGCAGAGCATTAAACAGCTACTGCTGCAGGTTAGTTGGCTGAAACAATCTCCATCATAATGTTAATTTTGTAAAAGGTAAACATGTGATGTCTCTTACATTTCACTATCCCTCACATATTAATTACTCTACAAAAATGGGAACAGATGCATTCAACATAAATTTTAAGAGTTGGTTTGCAGCTTTAAAATGAGTTTATCATTTCAACACATGGATCAGTTCCGATTAGGGTGTGCAAGACAGAGAGGGGGGGGAGAGATGTTTCAATCCAGGATGAATACCAATGAGCTTAGTGTCGCGGCAGACAGGCTGTGCTTTATAAAGGAAAACGCTGACTCCCAGTGACGGGGGAGGGTGTGAGTGATAAGATTCAACCACCCCATCCAAAAAAGTTGGGACCAGGGAGGGGAAACATAACAATGCTTTGCCGCGGTAGAGACTCATAGTGGGGGGGAGGCCACAAATCCTCAAGCTGAAACGACTCTTTTACCGCCAATAGTAGCAAGACAATGAGATCAAGCTATTACCTACGCCTGAAACTTCATTATTACTTAAAATAAATATATACACACACCTCCTAGGCCGTTGCCTATTAACTACCATCAAATAATGCCATTTCAGTCACCAGCCTATCATTATAATATTCTTTTGTTTACTTGTAGTGCACCATGACAGCGCTATTTTAACTTATAGCTCCACACATAGCTGAGTTTCCCTGCTTAGTTTTCCAAGTAATGCGCTAAGGAGCTAACTGAAGCTAGCTAGTGGAGAGGTAGCCGCTTAGCTCCACGCTACTTCCTGTCAGCTGGAGATTTCAGATTAGGACCAGAGAAACGGGTTCCCTTCACTTTCCCCAACGACGCTTCATAGCGCCAAAAAGACAGACAGAAACGCGCCTCAAAAGACACCGCGTCTCAAGGGTCTTTTTTTTATGTCTACGGTAACTACGCAACACGGTGGTAGTTAGCCATTAGCTGGCCGTTAGTCGGGTTCGTAGCGCACGTGGGCTATAGAGTCTGACGCGAGAGCTGCCAGCGCGCGGCCAACCTCTACGGCTATCGGCGGCTAGCTTGTTTTCTATCCTCTATTAGTATAAAAATGATGGGTTTCCTCACCTCTGCCTGTTTCCTGACATTGTTGTCAGGGTTCATAAGGTTCCCCAGGAGGAGGTAGAACTGCTGCTGCTCCGCCATTGCGGTGGTATCCCCCCCAAAAAAAGACCAGCCGGGTGGAGAAGCAGCGAAATGAACCCGGCAGACCCTGCTTTAGTCCCACAATTTAGCGAGCACATCATTGGCTAACGTATCAGTTCCAATCGCCGCCTATTGGACAATGCGCGAGCTTTAGGCGAACGCTATTGGCTGATGGAGAGTGCTTGCTGTTATTGTCCAATGCGACGCAGAGCTGTGAATCCATTCCTTGTATTGGCCACGAAGGCGCTGTCAAAACGCGGGAGTTTATTACATCAATATAGGGAGGAGAAACATTTGGGGAAATTTCTTCAGGACTCTTACAAGTTATACAATATGAGACAACGGAAATGGAAGAATGCCCGGAGCAAAAGCAAAACATGAAACGGTTTACACTAGATTCAATCAATGTATAGCTTTGAAATTCTGACTTTTTTTTTTTAAGACACACAACTCTTTATTTTAAAGAGTTATTGATCTCCAGACTTTAACTTTCTGACTGTTAACTTGAGATATAAATATTTTTCCTTGTTACCTTAACAATGCGGCACTATAACTGCAATATATGTCCAATTAATATTTAATTCCCTGTGCAATAATCCTGTGAAATATATATAAATGCACCTTTTCCTCCTTTTGGTACCTTCTTTTATTTATTGAGCCGATGTGACAAGTGAATTTCTCCACTGTGAGATCAATAAAGTCTATTTTATCTTATCTTAATTAGTGTTGCACAGATGCCATTTTTTGGGCCCAATTTGGCCTGGCTGTGCAGTATCCACCACTACCAACACCATCTGTTTGAAATTGATGTGTTTGTGTATATATGAAGAACTGCATACTACTTGGATGTGAAATAATTGCCATCATGGTCTGTCAAGCTGCTTTCTACCTTTGTGAAGCAGAAAAAATACTAATACAAAGTGAATCCAGTAGAACCTTTTATTGCCTACCTGGAATGGGTGACAATAGTTGAATAAAATAGTATCGGTGCCCTGATTGTTGGTACTCGCCCATACCGATACCAACATTTTAGTGCTGGATCGGGGCCCCACCCGATACTGGTATCGGTGCAACACTAATCTTAAGTATTTTCTGCACTATACTAGTAACTTCTGCAGCAAGTCAGCTGAACAAGTTACCACCAACCCTGCATAATTTACTTAAAATGTAAAAATGCATCATTGAGGACTTTAATGGCTTCTTCCTCACTAAAAGGCGTGGGTTCGACTCGCTCCCATGCTGACATTTTAGTGCTATTTATGCTTTTATATTGTTTAAACAGATGACCATCGGTACCTTTATGGCACTGGAAATTATACCCAATGATGAATCAGCTGTTTGGAAGTGTACATTTTTCTTCTTGATGTCTTGATTAAATAAACCAGAAGCCTATATGGCAGAGACATTATAAGGAGCAATAAAGATTTGCAATTTCCTGTTTTGTTGTAACATTCACCAATATATTTGGGGCATTTTTTTCTTCCCCCTTCCCCCTATGCATCTGGCTCAAATTTTAACTATTTAATCTAAGTAATGATTCCAAATTGTTTAAAAGAAAAGGTAATTATCAAAATCTTTATTTTAGATGTCATTTAATTTTTTTTGAAGAATCTCTTTACTGAAAAAGCATTCCTTTTATACACTTAAAATCTGCCTTTCGACTTCAACTGCAGTTATGTTTATTTCATAAACAGTGCCTTTTTTGTTTGTTTATGAAGTTGCTGTTTTCTCACAATCTGCTGGAGCAGATGGGTTTACAAAGTGAGGCAGGTTCTGCTGGTTTTTTCCAATTAAACGGGAGTTTTCCTTTCCATTGTTGCTACAGACACGCTGGTTATAAGAGATTGCCAGCAACACAATGCAAGCAACCTTCTACTTTTGCTAAATACTCGTCAAGCGGGAGTGAATTGTGCAAGTCAGTGAGAGGAGACAATATGCTGAGTTTCCTTAGAAATATTTTAACCAATTTGAATAATAAACTGAGCTTTAATGGATTGTTTGATAGCAAGAAAAAAATGGGGAATGTATGTGTTTAACTGGGGATCTGTTGGTGTGATTTGGTTGAATTGACCATTTTTTTAGTAAAATCCCTTGAGATGATGCCTGTTGTGACAGCCTGCTGTCACACTCTGAAGCTGTGTGGTAACTTTTATATTTTTCATTTTCAAAATGAGTTGCACATTTCAAATATTTTCATTAGCCTGACTTTAAGTTAGTTTTTTGCAGTGCACACATTTAGTTAGCTTTCTTTGTCAGGTTGTTAGATTTTTTTTAAATGCAATTGATTGATTTCCTCTTTAAGTTGCCAGTTTCCTTTGGATCTGCTGCTGGAGGGCTGCAATGAGCTCCAGCTTTCCTCTCAATTGATCGTTGCAGGCTAATCAGTGGGTCACACCATTTGTAATGGGAAGGGTTTTGTTAATTTGTTAAATTTAAAAAGTACTTAGTGTCTGGCCAATATTTATCTGTTAATTAAGTTTATTTGTTTGTAAGTTTGTCAGTCAGTTATCCCCCTTGTGTGCCAACAGTGGTCTGATCAGCCACTATTTAAGTTTCCCTCATGTCTTGTTTGATAGGTCAGTTTGTGTTTGAGTTCTTTATTTTAGTACTTGAGTTGAAGTCTGTTTTGTTGACCTCTGTTTTTGGGCCCCGTTTTTAATATTTTGAACACTTAAAAACAATAAAATAAATTAAGACCTTTTAATTTGAAAATTTTCACTGGTTTTCTTGCTGCTTTTCGAAAATCCTTCACATCTGTTATAAATTGGTGCTAAAGATAAACTGAATTGAATGATTTATTATGCTACAGATTTTCCTTTCACTTAATTTTCCAAGAGCTTTCTTGAAAATGTCTGCAGAAAAAAGCAAAAGAGAGAGAAAAAAATATTGAAATGTACCTATACAGTTTCAGGTTATGATGTTTTAGGGTTTTATCCACTAGATGACAGCAAACTTTCATCAAATATTCTACCTAAACTTTTTCTTTTTTTTTAAATCAGACAACGGCCAAACTTTTTTCCCCATTCAGGCAAAATCGCACAGGCAACATATATATAAATAGATATATATATATAGATATCTATCAATATATAGATAGATATCTATATAGATATCTATATAGATATATATAGATATATATGAAGGCACTGAAGGCATCCAAACTATGAATTAACACATGTGGAATTATATATTTAACAAAAAAGTGTGAAACACCTGAAAATATGTCCTATATTCTTGGTTCTTCAAAGTAGCCACCTTTTGCTTTGATTACTGCTTTGCATACTCTTGGCATTCTTTTGATGATCTCAAAAGATTAAAGATGAAAACTTTGTGTTGCAGCTATTTTTTTCAGTTGTAAGATTTTGTCTGAAATAATTTTTTTCTGAATACAAAATAAAAAAAAAAGTCCCAATCCACACCAAAAAAACAGTATTTGAGGAGAAAATAGGTTTAATTTGGAATTGGTGTCAGATAATACACACAAAACCATGCAGGGAAATAGTCCTTTTTTGTCTCTACAGAGATAAATAAAACATTTTCATTTCTACAGCACCCTCTAGTGGCGGGGTTTAGAACGCACTCATGTTTTCCAGAGAGCACACATATGACTTCTAAGTTAATATGTTTATTAAAAGGAGGTTTGCATGCTTCACATTCAGCTTTTCAGTAGAAGTCACTGGGTAGATCTGATCATATTTACTATTAAAGCTTAGTGAAAGACGAAAACTTTGTGCTGCAGCTATTATTTTCAGATATTTCAGATTTTGTCTGAATACAAAATGAAAAAAAAAGTCCGAATCCACACCAAAAAACAGTCCTTGAGGACAAAATTGGCTAATTTTGAAATGCCAGATAGCACAAAAAAAGAAAAAAAAAAACATGCAGGGAAATTGTCCTTTTACGTCTCTACAGAGATAAATAAAACATTTTCCTTTTGTCTCTCTACAGCACCCTCTAGTGGCGGAGCCTAGAGCGCACTGTCATGTTTTCATAGAGCACACATATGCCTTCCTAGTCAAATTAAATGAGCAGAGATGCCATAATAATTTCTTGGAGACAATTTCCAAATACGATTAGGATCTAGATCAACTAAACACTTTTCAAATAAAGAAGACTGCTTTGCTGTTTTGTGATGCAGACAAAAATAAACAAGAAATCTATGTCTGCACTAAGAACTCATTGTAAATTGGATTTTGAGCTTTTTTTTTAAGATTGCACAAATCAAATATCAGTCATATGCAAATTAACTTTGCCTCAAATCAGTGTTTGATCTTTTCCTGTTATGAAACAACTAAAATTGATGAATGAGTAGAACTAGATGGCTCATATATGTTTAAAACAAGCACTTATAGTTTGTGATTTATCGCCACTAAAACCTCAGATTTTAAAGATTTTCTTCTGTTTTTTTTTTCTAATACACACAGCAACAAATGCTGCCTAAAGCCATTTACAGTTTGTCACCTAAAAATGCAAACCGCACAATATTTACCTTGATTTTATATGATGGGGGAACACACATCAAAGCCTTGTTAGGAAGTTAAAGCAATGTATTTTATTTTTTATTTTTATGAAGAGAAAAAAACAAACAAACAAACTGAGGCTTTGGTTGAATGTTTAGGGTTTTCATCCCTTCTGGAGGCAAGAATCCCCACAGGATGATACTGCCATCGCTGTGCTTCACTACAGAGACAGTGNCTATACAGTTTCAGGTTATGATGTTTTAGGGTTTTATCCACTAGATGACAGCAAACTTTCATCAAATATTCTACCTAAACTTTTTCTTTTTTTTTTTAAATCAGACAACGTCCAAACTTTTTTTCCCCATTCAGGCAAAATCACACAGGCAACATATATATAGATAGATATATATAGATATCTATCTATATATAGATAGATATCTATATAGATATCTATATAGATATATATATATATGAAGGCACTGAAGGCATCCAAACTATGAATTAACACATGTGGAATTATATATTTAACAAAAAAGTGAAACGCCTGAAAATATGTCCTATATTCTTGGCTCTTCAAAGTAGCCACCTTTTGCTTTGATTACTGCTTTGCACACTCTTGGCATTCTTTT